GTGCCGAGTCTTTCCTGTTCTTTCGTAATGAATTCGCATCTGGTCACCGGCAAACGGCCGCGGCTGATCGTCCCTGAGGTTATTTCTCAATGCTCGAAGGCCCGTTCACGTAGCCGGTGAACACCGAGAAATCGCGCGTCGCTCACCTGCATGTTTTTCGAATATCTCGTGGATCCGGTCCACGTACTGCATTACGATCGACATTGTCGCTGGCTGATTCCCGACGGTGTCTTCGCACGAGAGAACGACGCGTCTTCCTCCTCACGCCAAGGGCGCTGCTCCACGCAACCGGATTCCTGAGTTCCTGTAACAATTAGAAACCGACGTGTTATTCTTGCGATTAGTGTAATCGTGTGTTGTATCAGAGGAAATGATCGTTTCAATAGTTCAATAGTTTCACTTTAATACTGTAACGAATGTCAACTGAAAATAATCTATTGTTACAATGTTTATAGTGATGCATATGAATCGTATTGAACGATAGTCTAAATAATCCGAAGAAACTGAAAATGAACTATTATAATTTTATCCGTGCGAATCGTGTTAAATGCTCGGTAATCTAAGTAAATCCAAAGAAACTGAAGATAATCTATTGTTACAATATTTATAGTGGTGCATATGAATCCTATTAAATTCTCGGTAGTCTAAATAAAAATCTGAAGAAACTCAAGACAATCTATCGTTACAATATTTGTACGAATCACATAAATGCTCGGTAGTTCTAGTGTTAAAGCAGTGCTCTCTCGAATGCAAAGAGTCGATTCGAGGCAAACGGACAAAATCCATCTAATCTGTTTCGAACACCTTTCTTCCTCCCTCCACGCGAAGTTCCGAATGAATCGATCAAATTCGAACTAATCGAAGTAAATTCCAAACAAACTAAGAATCTCGAGTGATCCCGAGGTAGTGTCAGGGCGAGCGCACGCGACCGATTCCCGAGGAACTTGCTTCGCGCGAAAGGGGGGCGTGTTACTTAACGCCGGTCGCGTTACATAAACGCCGGACGATCCTCCGTCGCGATATTCGGCTGCGGCATTGAATCAGAAGCGGCTGTTCGCGGGCCAAGATCAGCCCGCGCCGAAATCCGTTTGCGAAACTATTCGAACACTTTGTTATGGATCGCGCGCGCCGCTCCCTCGCGCAATTCCACGGGCCGACCATGAATCGGCCGCGGCCTTGAACCACTGCCGGCCGAGCAGCGCCGATTCCGAGCAATTTCGCCGGTAATCGCTGGCCACCGGGTCTTTATTCGAAATCGAAGGTTCTCCGAGCGACTTTGGAAATCGAAGATCGACGGTGAAACCGCCGAGCAATTCGAGTGACCCATTTCCAATTGCATACGAAAATTAGAATATAGTCTATTCTATAGAATAGTCTATCTGTAGAAATACGCGAATTGAGAATCTCTCACAGGAACTTCGTGGTTTAAATGCAACATAAAAATTCTCCCGATCAATTTGACCCGTTCGGTGGTTCCAGTGTTAACCTGACCTAGCCCTACGGTTTATTTCCCAATTACGATCGATGCGGCTATCTTGTCGTTAATAATTCACTGTTATCCAGGGTTAAATTCGTGTGTTTGTGTGTTCATGTTAAATATAAAAATCAGAGTTACTTGGAAACGATCGTAACATGCACGATAACCGATGTCGAATGAGTGTTACAACGTGACTTGATAATAGCGTAACGCAAGGACTGTAACGCCAAGTAATTAATCATTCCTTCTCTTTGCTATCAACGAATAACCCTATCGAAAAACGGTCAAGCCTTTCGTGGCGCTTAACCCTTTGCGGTCCGAAGCAACGAATGACTGGTTTCGATTTTGTTTAGCAATCATTGATATCTTCGAAGCACCGAATATTCGAAATGATTTTGAAAATAAATAGCTTGAGTACTATACTGAATGTCCGAAGAAACCGAAAATAATCTACTGTTACAATTTTTATAGGAGTTGCATGTTAATCGTATTAAACGCTCGGCAGTTCTAGCGTTAACGCGTGAAACGATTCCACCGGCGACATTAACGATTCCGTGTACGAGCGACGGGTACACCGCATCCGTCGTAGTTGTTCTGGGTTATGAATTTTATGGGCTGCGCGCCTCGTCCGCGCGTACGTGGGAAGCCATTAAAAGGATTATAATAAACCATTCTTCCCTTGGAAATAATTGATGACTAAATGCGCGAGTAATGGTATCTTACTTGTAAATGATGCACCGGCATCGCGAGGAATGCCGGAGCAATTTATTAGAATACTATTAATATCACCGATACGCGGAATGTAATGGACAGTCTCCATTCAGGCTGGCTTTATTCGTCGAATAAAATTTTTATCGGTGAATGGCGAACGGATCATGCAAATCCGCGGTGTTGTATGCACGGACGAAGAAAAACAGGAATTAAACGCGTCGGTAAAAGTCTCAAGCTCGTAAACATCGGTATTTTGTAACGTTAACTCATCGGTATTTTGTAACATTAACTTACTAATTTAAACTGATTCATTAATTCGTTTTTGTGATTTGACGTGTCTCGCCGAGATTAACGAAACGACCGGCACGTTCGCCGTCACGGGAGTGTCGAGCGTTTTGCATATCGCCCGTCCTTCCGTGACAGAAGTAATCAGTATCACGATTCCCGCGTTACATCATAATCCGGTCATTAAGCATTTTTATTTAATAACGACCGCCCGACGTGTTGCGCGTGTTTTCGAGCGGTTCAAAACAAACGGAACAGGACGGCCCGAAGAATCCAGTCCGTGTTTGTCCCGTCGCGAGTCGTATTTCTCAATTTCTGCTTCTCATTTTTAAAATCCAAAAATCTTCCAGTTTGCATCGTCGCCTACTAAGTTATCCTGTTAATCTCTTTCCTCGCACTTCTACCGTAAACAATTAATATTCACTCCCGCTTTTATTCATCCTCGTTCCATTCCTCGATTAACATCATTCTCCAAATCCGATTTTCTATGGAAAAACTCGCGAGAAACGTTACTCGTAGGATTACCTCATATTCCTATTTCTTCACTGTCAAACGGAAAACACGAGGATTCTCGGTCTGCCGTAATTAACCCACTTTCGATTTCATAGAACTGCGAACAGAGGGAAAAAAGGGGACATTACGGTGATCTAGTTCTCGCTGAGCGGCGCGTGAAATGTTCGTAAACGGGCGTTCGCCGTCGTCTAATTACCGGTGCGGCGATCACCTTCGAGCCGCGGCGGCGCCGTCATTGTTTCCACGAAGACATTTCCTCGCGTTGGAAACGGAGGTCGCGGAAGAGGAACGCTGGCCGCCGCTTAATTGTTTATTTCGATGCCGTAGGTGGCCGCCGGCAATTAATTACGCGTCCCTGAGGCGTATGTGTATTTTCTGCGCGCGTGTGCGGCCACGTTCCATCCGCTGCTCACCGCCAACCGCCGCCGCCGCCGCCGCCGCCGTCGGTGGTCAGCTGGACGGTTTGGTAACCCGTTGAATTTCGCTTTCAATACAACTCGGACGACCAGAGAATTCTCGCCAAGGCCAGCCGGCCGGCGAACGGTCTTGAACGGGTGCCGTCGTTTATCATCGGGCCGGCCGGTCACCGAATCGTGTACACACTGGCCTGGAGAATCGGGAGCTGACCTACTCTACTGTACTTTGCCCTTCTTCCTACCGACAGGCTCGATCGAAGGAGAAAGAACCAATTGATAGATTCGACGTAGAGATAGAAGTCCTCTGGAAATGGATAATTTTGATTTCAGTGAACCTCTTTTGAACATTTTTCACTAGAAATGTTTCAATATTTTCTGATGAGACGAAGACGATATTTTGTAAAACCAACTTGAGAAATTCGACGTACAGATAGAAGTCCTCTGGAAATGGACGATTTCGGTTTCAACCTCTTTTGAACGTTTTTCACTAGAAATACTTCAACATTTTCTGATGAGACGAAAACGATATTTTGTGAAACCAACTCGACGAGAAATTCACGTGAATTGGACAAAGCTATTTTACGTGAATATTTCTCAGATTGATGAATTATATGAAGTATAATATTAAATATCAAACTTTGTAGCTTGACTGTAGGAAATTAAGTGGTGCAAAGGGTTAAGTGGGTTTTCCTTTTGATGGACATTGTTTCGATTGTGCCTTGACCTTTTTTTTGGTATCTTGATCGAGGGAGAGAGACCAATTGATTGCTGATCGATCCTAGCTTGAGAGGGAGGTGTTCTAGACGTGTCTGATTGTCTCTGATCACTCTGCTCAGTTTATCTAAGAACACCTTCGTAAAACCATCAGAAATTTACTAAACTCAGCATTCCTATATTAAACTTCTTCCTGTCGTCTCGATCGAAGGAGGAAAACTCAATTGATTTTTAACCGATTGAAATATCCCTCCTAATTATCTCGTCCACATTGCACAGTAATTGACAATGTCCTCGCTAACATCCCAAAGAATCCTCGGATTGAGAATAATCAGAAAAAGAAAGCGGTCCACGAAAGAAGAGAAAATCGAGCTAGAAACAACGAGTTCCGCGCGATATCCAAGAAATCTGCCAATCCCTCGGATCGTAGATCGCGTGGGTGTCTGCCGAGCCCGAGTTTGTCATTCTCGGGCCCGTCTAACCGACGTTGGACCCTTGCACAACCGGCGTCCACGCTCGCAGAAATATTCTACGAAAGTATCAGCGCGTGCCTAGGGTTAGAGAGATCGGATAGGGTAGCGGATTTTCGTGCCAAGTGGGACCGAGTCGAGCAGCTATAGAAATTCCGCGAGAAACAGCGGAGAGAAGGGAGAGAGAGAGAGAGAGAGAGAGAGAGAGAGGCGAAGGGAGAGAAGGAGGCGCAGGGGCCAGGGTCGATCCGTTGGTCCGCGATGGATCGCGATCGCGTCTCGTCCGCGTTGCAAAACGAAAAGTCGAAAACGCGCCGAGCAAGCGAAATACCTCGGGAATAATGTTGCGAAAACTGTATACATCAGCGGTTCTCAGTCCACTGTGTTATCCGTGCTACACGGAATTATATCATATCTGAGACTTACGCACGAGACGGGAGAGCAGGCGAGATACGCGACGCTCGCGAGGACAAGCGAGTAGTCTGCGTGTCGAGTACGGAGTTTCCTTCTCGTTGCGTATTGTTCAAATTTAAGATAATTAGCATTTTTATCCCTTTGCACTCGGAAGTCTTTCACTCGAAGTGTTCAATCTTTTCTGGTTAGATGTAGACAAGATTCTTTGACCCTTTGCACTCGAGAGGTGACTCTCACCCACTAGACTTCATACAGCGAAACTATAAAATTTGACATTTAATATTATACTTTGTACAGTGCATCG